CAATAATAAATGTGGTAGTGGGCACCTTCTACAATTATATTATAACTTACCACCAGTTTGTAAATCTAAATTCCTTAGAAGCACAGTGTTTAGCTTTTCCATATTTGATCCACCTGAATGAAGGAGGTACTTCAACAGATTGAAAAACAGGACACTAAAAACAAAATCCTAGATTTTTAAAGAATTTTTTGTCAATGTTATTCCAATAATTTGAACAAAATTTGGCACATAATAGAAGCCCAAAACAATTGATAACGCTGGGCACCTGCACCTCTTGAATGGAGATGGAAAGCAAGCTTGATTTCCAAAAAATAAATTTATGTATTTTTATCTTTATATTAGGTAAGCACACAGGGCTGTTTATCTGTATCACACTGCCATAGCGTCTTCTATCATGATGTCTAGTAGAAGTTCACCCTTATTTATTCAATCTGTTGAATAATAAAGAGAGATAGAGTGATAGATGAGTCTTTATTTCAAGCACAGGGTTTGTTGTAAGCATCCATACATATTTGCTACGGTTTTAGGCAGGTTTGGTGATGTGTTTGGTTTGTTCTTTTTTTTTTTCATATCCTATAGTTGCCTGTGTAGGTGCTCTGAGGGGCAAACACCTCTTTGCATCTCCCCTTGAGAATACATCAACCAGTTCTTTTTCCCTACTTGTTCCTTTTGAAAACAAAGCATCGTGAAAAAAACGATGCTGGAGCGGTGGGGACATAGAAAAATCCCAATTCTCCATAATATTCTGAACTACTTTATCGCTCTTTATTCCTACAGATTAGAAAACAATGTCAGGATAAGACCTTCACCTGTTCGAGACTGAATTTCTGTTGTAATACAGTTCCTTGTCCTTGTGCTCAACGTAGACACGAGGTGGCACTAGAGCTCAAATTTTTGGAAACTCCATTCCGAAGCTGTCTGGCTTCTACTAGCCTTCCGCAAATTCACTGTTTCGCCAGGCAAAGCCAAAAGGGTCAGAAAAGCGTTTACAGTGAAAGAGAACAGGAAGAATCCGTCCAACTTGTGCAGAAGACGGCTGGCCAGAAAGCATTAATAAATTAAATGTGAGAAATGTAGCATTTCTAGTGCATTTTATCAAATAGTAGTTAAAGAAGTAATGCTATTTGAAGGAATGGTTCTCCAATACTTTCCAAATTATTAAAAAGTCACCAACCCTTAAGAAAGCTTTACCTGATGAAGATGCAGGGTGATTCTTTCATTTACATGGTTACTTTGAAGCTGTGACTTCAGAGTACTTTTCTGTTGTAGAATATAAGTGCACAATTATGAAAAAAATCATATTTCAATATTTTTGTTGCTTTTCTTGTGACCCCTTGGTTCCCTCCCAGCCTACAAATTTGCAATAAAGCAAAGAAGCCCTTCTCATGAATTTCACTCTGGGCTTTTTTACCATATTTACTGACACTTGCTTTCCTCTTGATTTCATCACTTACATTCCCTTCATTAGCTTTAAATGGCTGGATGGCCTTTCCCTGTTAAATGAGTGGTTTGCCATTCCTCACAGGTCTGAATGCAATAATCACTACCCTACTCAAACTCTAATATATGGCTTTCCAATAAAATCATATCTGACTGTCTTTAAAATGTGAAAAGCTACTTTCCTCATATCCCATGTTCACACTTAATTAAAGACTTCTTTAATTTTGTAGGCTCTTATGAAATACTTTCCTCAATTCAGGAGAGGTATTACAAAAATCATAAAAATAATAAAATTCATGTAAAATTCATGTTTCACTAAAATAGTTGTAAAAATTCCAGCACACTGACTATGCCCAAGCAAGCCTTCCTTCAGACAGCCTGAGTTGGCAGTTCTTTTCAGTGTAAGTTTGTTGTTGTAGACTTTCTGGTTTGATTTTGATATAAGTTCAGAAAAAGACTTGAAAATACCTTTGTTTTTATTATTTTGTCTCATTTTTCCTAATACAGGTGCTTAACTTCTAATATTAGTTGGGAAAACAGCTGCAGAAAATTAGTAAACATTCTTCCTTGGTACAAATCTGTGGACTCATCCCATGCCTACAGCTCAGCATACAGAAAAGCATACTATTGGATGGAGTCCTTAGGGACTTACATTTCAAAATCATTTGCAATGATTTTATGTAACATTTTGTCCTTTTATGCAAATTGATAAATGAAAACAAGATCCAAACAATCTGTGCTTACTTGTCTTCTGTGGTAACCCAGCTTTTCTTAATGATATTCTGACTAGAGTCAAACTACTTAGGCCTTGTAAGGTAAACATACACAGATATTCTTCCCAAGAATGTCAAGACAGTGAAAGGATTAAAAAAGGTTTATTTCAGATGCAACAATCACTTTTTTACCATGTTACACTCACTGGGCTTCTAGAGGCAAAAGACAATGCACCTCCTCCTCCAAGGCTTTTTTTTTATCTTCTCTCTCTTCTTCCCCACTCTCTGGTGCAAGGAGTCCTTGTACATCTCTGCAAACATGTTATCTCGCTGCATACCAGAGAGCAAGGCTGAGAACTTCTCTTCCTATACAGTGGAGGGGAAACATTGAAATTGCCTTTGAGAAAGAGCCACCACATGGGCAGAAAACCTTCCTAGAGGAATAAGTCCTAACTTTCTATTACAAATCCTTCCCAAAATGTATCTAATCTTACAGATCTTCACTTACATTTTATTGTTGATGCTCTTATTAATTTGCGTAGAAAAAAAGACTATTTGTTCTGGTCCATTTAATTCTTTGTCTCTCCCCTTTACTGTGCACATTGCTTTTTAGGACAACAGTTGCGCTTTCTTAATGCCAGGAAATCACCTTTCCTCTTAGGTGTTAACATAACTGACAACCATTCTTTTTTTTTTTTTTTTACATTAGAAACATCCATCATATCTACTCAGACCATCTCAAGGCCTTCTGTCAGTGAAATAGATGGTGCAATCACTCTGTTTCACAAGTATTAACCTCAGTCCTATATTTTTTGCAGCACAAAAATTTCTGGACTATAATGGTTGCATATTGCCCATGGAAATAAGAAGTTATAATAAATACATCATAACATTGAAAACACTTGTGAAATATGCATATGAGCAGAATTTTTATCAAAAGTTTTTTAAAAAAGCAGGGTTTTTAAAAATGTGTATGGAAGTAGTTCCCTCACCATACAGAAATGTGTGCCTCTCAGACAGGAGTGTATGCCTAGGGGGATTTAGCTGGCTTGTTGTAGTAGTAGAACTGTGACTTCTCTGATACACCATTACACAGACCAACATTTCTTCTTCAAAACAAGCAGCATTTGTAGAAGTAGACATAAATAGAATACAATCAAAATGCAACTAATCTTACCTCTAGCAAAAATGCATATATACAATACTTTAAAATATAGTGAAATGTCTTAAAATTAGGAGAACTGCTTAGAATGCAAAAATGTAATAATTTTGTCTGTTATATGGTCCTGCAAAACTCACAATCAGATAACAACTGTTTTTCTATTAATAACAGGATTAACTTTATTTACTTTACTCAAAGTGAAAATGCTAGGTGCTCACTTGTTCATGTTTTGAAGTTGAATAGTTAGGCTTGACTCTCACAAAGAACATGCTGCTGCTTACACTCTCTTGAGCTCAGCAAAAAAAATTACTCCTTCAAATAAATTTTTAATAATTACTTCAGTTTTAACTTGAAGTAATTTTTAAAACCTGCTCTGCCTTGTTTGTTTGGGTTTTTTAAATCAATTTTTGGTGAATATACCTCCTGAATATATTCTTTCTTATGATGATGAAATCAGATTCTTTTCCTTGGAATAGTTGCAGTATCTTTCAATTTCACAAGGTTAAAGCAAGAGTTTTACCGCTAGACCTTATAGTCTATGATTACCAGTTAATTAGTTATGACCCATTTCTCCAAGAGACCAGACAGATAGCATCCACTCATTGTAGTTTCTTAAATTGTATTTGGTTTTTACCTATGTCAAAGAGGTTAGTTCAATATATATGCTTTATATAACAGTTCTTGTGGTGTTCCCCAGGGATCAGTTTTGGGGCTGGTACATCTTCGTCAATGGTCTTGACTTGGGGATTGAGTGCACCCTCACTAAATTTGCAGATGACAACAAGTTGAGTGGGAGTGTTGAACTGCCCGAGGGTAGAAGGACTCTGCAGAGAGACCTGGACATCCTCTATCATTGGGCTGAGTTCAGCTGCAAGAGGTTCAACAGGGCAAAGTGCTGGGTCCTGCGCTTGGGTTGCAGCAAGCCCATGCAGCACTACAGCTTTGGGGAGGAGTGTTTTGAGAGCTGTTGGGCAGAAAGGAACTTGGGATACTGTTTGACAGCTAGCTGAACATGAGCCAGCAGTGTGCCCAGATGGTCAAGAAGGCCAATGGCATCTTGGCTTGTATGAAGAATAGTGTAGCCAGCAGAAACAAGGCAGTGATTGTCCCCCTGTACTTGGCACTGGTGAGGGCATAGACTTCGAGTGCTGTATTCAGTTCTGGGCTGCTCTTTAAAAAGGGCTTAGCCAGTTGAGGGAAAACATTGAGGGAATGTGTTCTTGAGGGAAGACATTGGCATAATAAAAAGAACTATCCCACCTTGCAGGATGTGATTCTTATTGGCCTTTTCTCTACCTGGCTCAAAAAACAGCTTGTTGCTAAACAAAGGTCAGTTTCTTATGGTCATCCTCTTGTGGTGGACACTCACCACCTCTGCACCTGGGCTGTTCTTATGCAGATCAGAGGTTTTGCCACCACATACCCAAAACCTCTTCTCCCTTTTGTTTGGGTGGTGCAAATAAGGTAAAGAACCTGATACTTCTGCAAATGTCCAATTGTTCGAGTCATTATCCTTGAACGTTTCAGTCTCTCACAATGAGCTATGTAGAATTTTTCAATCTTTCTTTTCTTTTTTTCTTTCTTTTTTTTTTTTTTTATTAAATACAATAGGTATATTTACTATGCAATTTAAATGAGAAAGAACAAGACAGAGATATTCTTGGCTTTTTTATATTTTTAACAGGCTAATTTTTTTAAACAGGTTATCTTTAGGTGGTTTTCATGTATCTGGCTTACAAAACCCCTAGCTGAAGTGAAATAGAAAGGTGGAAACTCAGCTATAAAGTCCAATATTGCCCCATTATTTTTTTATTAAGTTATTTACTCATTTTCTCTCACATATAGTACTCAGACAACTTGAAATTAGGTGCAGAATAGCAACAAAGGACATACAAAGTACCACATGGGTTAATTTTATTTTTTAAAGTTTATTTGCTTAGAATAAATGAAAATGTTACCGTTTTAATGATTAATCCAGCAAATAGAAACTTCTGGGCATTCTTTGACTTTGGATAAATGATAGCAAGAGATATTAATGCCATTTAGAATAAAGATACTGAAAAAAAATACCTTCTGGGTCACAGGTTTGCAACATAATACATATGGATCAAGTACCATTCCGCAGAAACCTCTCTGTATAGAGCCTGTCTATTATATAGACAGGTAAATATATAGACCTTCAGCAACTGGGCTTGAGTGTGTTTCAGGAACATAAAGCTTAGTTGTCACTTCCACATAAAGCCACCAGGATGTTTTCATAATCCCCTTTGAGTTCATCCTGTCAATTTAAGCACAAAACCACAATTGTTAGAATAATGGTCTTAAGCGAAATAAATTTCAATAAGCATTCAATATATGTGTACCAAACATCAGTGCTTCACCTGAATAAATTAATCACTTGATAATACACATGCTCACCATAGACTGAGCTGCAACTTAGTACCCTCAGTGAAATTATCTGTAGGACCTAGAAATAAACACATGCATTTCCAGAGTGGTGCAGCTGTAGACAAGGCGTGATGGGTTGACCTTGACTGGATGCCAGGTGCCCACCCATCCCCTCTATCACTTCCCAGACAGACAGGGTAGGGAGTAAGATGGGAAACAACTCATGGGTTAGGATAAGGCAGTTTCTTAAAGCAAAAATTTGTGCACGCAGAAAGACCACACGGTTTATTCTCTACTTCCCTTCAGCAGCGATGTCCAGCCACCTTCCTGGAAGCAGGGCTCCAGCATGTGTAATGATTCCTCAGCAGGCAAGCATTGGAGACAATGAATGCCCACCTTTCTGCTCCTTGCCTCAGCTTTTATATCTGAGCTGACATCCTATGGTGCAGAATATCCCTTTGGTCAGTTTGGGTCAGCTGGTGTACTTGGGCCCCCTCATAGGATCTTGCCCTCAACTGAGGAAGGAATGTTACAGTGCTGATGCTGTGCTCAGCAGTAGCCAAAACACGGGTGCGTTATCAACACCCTTCTAGCTACCAATGCAAAGCACTGCACTGCGAGGGCTACTGTGGGGAAATGAACTCCAGCTCAACCAGACCCAGTACACAAGGCCAGGAGATTTAACAGCATAAATAAAGAAGAGAAGCACAGGACATTTCTAGACATCCAGGAGCTTAAGCTTTTCTTCTCTAAATATAGTGAAAGCTCTTCCTTGACCAATGATGCTCAATGTTCATTAATATTAAAACGCTATACACATTATTTCTAGGGGTATCTCAAACAAAGGTTAATAGTACAGAGGTACTCTATCCATCCTTATTTAGCTTAATAGAAATGGATATTATGCATTAAGTCTGCAGTGTAATTTTTACATGCTTTGTTTTCTCAAATGTGAGTCTATTTTTCAGAGACATATGAAGTTTGTTTTTTAAACACATATGTTTAGTGTAGCCATGCTATGCCTCAAACACATGGACATGATGAGATGATGTAATTACATAGCAAACTATAGATTACCCACATTTGTGAGGGAAAAATAAAAATAACCTTTGGCACCTAAAGTAGCAGACACCAATAAAAACCCAAAAGGCATTTGATACGTGTAGGAAGTAGGTGTCTACTCCAATCAAGATTTTCTTTTTTTTCTACTCTACTAGCCTCCACAAAGATGCTCTACCTTTCCTCAAGTTTAGCTTTCTTCAAGTCCCTCACTCATTAAAATGTCTAGAAAATACATTGGGTAGTCAGTCCCTTTGGAGAAAATATTTTTATTAGTTTAACTCATTTACTTAGGTCATCTGGAAAGAAGGCCAAATAAATATTAATAAAAGTTAACACACATTTGCAGGAGTACCTCTAATGCTAAAAATCAATACCCAGTTTTGTCAAATACCTCCCATATTGCTGTCAGGGCAATCATCTCCACTGTCCTGCCAAGGTACTTTATGTCTGCCTCAGTACAGGAACTTGGGCATATTGTAATCTCCATTCAGCTCTTGGCTTCTACTGTAAGATGATATCCTGAGATACGTATCATTACTAACAAAGTACTGTGCCTTTTTTGACAAAAACATGAACTCAGAAAAAGAATTAGTTCTACCAGCATGTGGACTGTTGGAAACAAAAGTTACTCAGCTACAATGAGATACTCGGGATGAACTGTTGACTGAGGAGCAGAAGAGTTAACAAATCTTTACTGGACTTCAAAAATCCTCTGGTTGTTTTGCATTTTATACGTCACCTGAGAGAAAACCTACCATAATGGCTTGGCGGAGAGAGATGCCATACAACCTCTTGTAGTAGCCTTTGATCTCATTCATATCCACTTCATGGCGTGAAACCATGATTCTGATGAGGTCTTTGTGCCGTGTCCCAGCACCCTGTTAAAAGAAAAAAGGAAAAAAGAAAAAATGGGGAAAGAATTACACTACTTATGTCATTGAAACATCTTTAATCAAGTTCTGTGTGTTAATACATTGGACTTCTTTGCAGGTGAACAAATCCCACATCCTTTTCCTTTAAGCATAATGGGGACCTCTCATATCTTCTGTTCCCTATGAGAACAATTCACTTCTGACAGTCTACCTCCACCCTGAATTTTTTTTACACATTTCTTTAATCTGTTTCCTAAAAAAACCCATCTCCTTCACAGTGTTTGCTAGGCACCAGAGACAACCTAGACTTCATTGCCTTTTTTCATAATTTTTTAATAGTGCAATGATCCATATTTTCATAATGTTTCACTCAATTTTACACATACTGTTCCTAAACAAGTCACAGGAGTTATGACAATACCTGCATATTATACTGTTTCACAATCTTTAGCTGCCTCACTCAGCTTGGGTTCCAAATTTGCCAGAAGGATCATGGATATCTCATCAAAGATTAGGCTTCCACAAGGTTCATGCTGTCTAATTGCTCTCCTATTTCCTTCTCACTAATATTTTTGTGGGTTCATAAGTAAGAAAAGTTCCAGTCACCCTTCTGTTACTGTTGACATTGAAAGATATGTATGGATGGACAGATGCCCTACTGAACACATTGCAGCACATGGACAACTCTTCCTATGGAAAGACTCTCAGGTTTCAAAGGCAGGAACAGGAGTGAGCAAAATACGCTGAATTTCCTTCCACAGTCTTTTTCCATCACATGCAGGGCTTAGAGAGCTCTAGCTAACTTGTTATTTTTCAGCTTATAAAGCACATCATGTTTACAAAGAGAAATTCTTTATGTAGGTTACCTTCATTGCCAAATGGAGTTTTTCAGCAAAGAAAGCTGGCTTGCTTGTGGCACACTTCACTGTAACGAAGCAGTGAGAAATGTCACTTCTGCTCTACATATAAGAAGTAACAAAAGACAAAAGTCTGGCAAAAGAACACTTTAAAAACAGCCTCATTGTTCCTACCAGCACATCTTATTTATGTATTTCTTTGTCTTGAAAATATAGGAAAAGGAGCAGTCCCTTTCCTCTGTCTATTCAGAAAACAATTCAGTCAAGGAATTCAGTTACTGCAAAGACAAGAGTGTTCTCCCTGGTTTACTACCTCAAAATTAGGGAAGAAAAGAAGAAAAAGGTGAAAGCATTTATGTTTTCTATAGAAGAGCAAGAGGTTATGATCTGATGTTTTGCAAACCAAGTTATAGTAAGTACTTGCCTTACACTTGATATTAAAAGGTATGTGATGGGAATAATTCTTTTATTCAAAATATGCTTGATAAAAAATATGATATGATATGATATGATATGATATGATATGATATGATATGATATGATATGATATGATATGATATGATATGATATGATATGATATGATATAAAAGCTGAGAACAAAACAGGTCTCTGGCTCCTGGTCCCTGGACCACTGGTTAGAGTCAGTCCCTATCTTGCGTTATTAGTCATGAAGAATAGTCACTAATTTTATACGAATATTTTCTTGAACACAACCACAAAAGGAAATTTGTTATATTTTTAATAATCATATATTAAAAATGTTCTCATGAAACTTGGAGAAGAGTGGGTTTGATTGAAGACAGGTTTAAAACTATAGATTTTTATACAAACTGTGATTATTGTTTTTGGCATAGTGACTTCTTATAAAGGTCTTTTTATTTTTCCAGTTCATCTGTTCTCCTTAAAAGATCTTCCCATATATCAGGAGAAGTATTTCTAGTAATTCATCAGCAGATAAGTCAACTAATTTTAGGCGTTAATTAAATCACTATAGTTGGATTTTTTTAAATTTGTTTGTTTGTTTGTTTATCTGTTTGTTTAGGAAGTTTCTCAATGAAGCAGGGCAAGTCCAGAAGAGTTTTTTCTCAGAGCAAGTATAGCAAAAGCCAAATTTAAGTTTTCATACAGTCAGTACATACAGCAGGTTGCAATCTACAAAAACACTTACCAATGGCAGTGAGGCAATTCTCAATGTCACCTTTGAGCTCCAAATCCAGTACTTTGTTCATGTCATGCTTGCTGTATTTGCTGTACTTCTGAAAGACTAAATAAAGGAAAAAAACTCAGTGAATAGAGATGAAAATACAGTATTCTCCCTGCACAGCCTCTGCCTTATTCTGTCCCTATTGCTGCAACAGAGGACTGTTTGTAGGTCATCTTTCTCATTTTCTTCAGACAGCACAGTGTAAAGAGCAGTATTACTGCATAGAATGGTGGAGTTAGCATATGGAATGGGACTTTGTTAGCACGTAAGGGTTCATGTTCCCATGCATAGGGGTAAAAGTGGTCCACTGACTGTCAGAGCCTGTGACATTGTGGGATAGCCCTCTATCTAGGGCAAAGTGGCTGAGGAGCAAGACTATGTTGGGGAGCATTCAGAATCTCTGTCACACTAATTGCTTGGCATTGTGATCACTTACCATTGGTTACATGGTAACAGTTTTATTAACAGCATAATGATATTGCTCATCTCTACCATGGAAAGAACAGCCAAGTTGCCGACTGCACCCTTAGACAGCAAGCATGCTTCCAATTACAAAAACCTTTCTAGCAGCCAGTCACATCTTGATAATCTATATCCTCTCTGAATTCATGAGCAGGCCATGTGCAAAATCCATGCCAGCAAAGCACAAAGTTTCATTCAACATACCACTTCGAAGGTGTGGGTAGCTTCTTGTAGTAAGAATAGTAATAAACACATTGATATCTGTTCCTTTTCTTTTCTCTCCTGCTTCGTACAAGGCCTGTCATAAACAAAAGAAACTAGTAAAGTCAATATTGAAATACTAAAACTCAAACAGGAATACTGTACTTCTGAGAGCCATTGCTTCTCAGCAATGAAACCTATCCCTTGACACAATCCATAACAAAACTCTATCCTACCTCAGACTGCTCTAGCTCTGTCAAGTTATACTTCCTACTTCACCTATAATAGTGCCTAGAGAGCACAGTGCAGTTAGAAAATACACTTTCAGAAAATTTACAATCATCATCTAACTCTCATTGATATACTTTGTTCTTGAATGAAGTTATTTTTCATTTATCATGATACGTTATCAGTCTGCATGGGAGTTTAGGACTGATAGACAATCTTAACACTAACAAAATGATCTCTGCTATTAACTGGTCCAATGTGCAAGAGGAGCCTATGCACCAAGTACTCCTTGTCTTTCCAGCAGTGACTTTTACTTCCAAGAAAGTAAGAAACAAACCAGTCTCCTTCACTTTCCTCACCTCCTCAAACCTGTCTAAAAGTAATCAAGGAAGACCTCCATACAGCATGAAAAGATTCAACAACACTCTGCATAAACAGTTCTGAACTTGAGCTTAGACAGACTATTCATTTACTTTCACGTCTAGGGCTAATGACAGAACTAAACTCTTTAGATACCAGGAATAAAAGCAATATTTCTCAATACCTTTTTTTTTTTTTTGATTATTCAAAAATCAATTTAAAGTCTTTCTACATTTAAATTGTAACCATGATGTCAGATTTCTCAGGAAAGACTGTTAAGTTTTATCATGATTTTAACAAAAATAGTCCCACTAATGGTAGAAGAAAGAAGGAAAAGAATAGATGTTTATTTTAGAACTGTTGAGAAAATGACTGTGAGGTTTACCTAATAATCTTGAAAGATTATCTCTGCAAAGCAATAGCTATGGCTAACACACTTGTCAAGGTATGCTAGCTAGTTATGCACATAGATGAATACACCCTTGTCCCTCAATTCAAAAGCTGTGTTATAAATGGAAGGAAGATTGGGTCTGATTCCTCAACTTGTTGACCTGTACTTCAAACGGTCTTTACCCACTTTACATGAACTAGAAGAAGCCTTAAACATTTCTGAAGTTAGATATTAGGGTGAAGATCTAACTTCTTTCCATGAACTTACATGAAGTTCCTCACATGAACTTTATGTAAGTGAAGTATTACTTCATGTAAATACTATACCCTCAGAAAAGATTGCTATATGACATTCTCTATTTGGTCTGCAATGTACAGGATTCAAGCAGAACATATGCAGCCAGTGTAATCTCAAGTAAGTGAGAAGTTCTGCAGAGTGGCAAGTATGATCTTACCCTGGCATCATTGTCAGCAAGCTCATGATTCACATGAGAATCTTCACATCGGTCAGCCTACATAAAGAAATAAACAAAATTTCGCTCATACTCACAATCATTCAGTTCACTAAAGCTCAACACTTTGAGGAGTTCTGCAGAACCACTCTCATACCAATGTATAACTGGAAATAGTTACAGTTATGACAATCATTCTATAAATAAAGCTGTTGTATTTGTAATCAATCAGATTTCACACTTCTAAGGTCATCAGCAACTTATTTCTAAGTCCTACATAAAAATCCACAGGAAGTAATCTTTCTCATGTGAAATTGCTGGCTTAGAACCTGTGATCTGCTCCCTGGTGATCATTCAAGAGACTTATTTCAAGTTGATTTGAAAGCAAAAACTGAAAATCCAAACCACAGACATATGAAAAAATAATCCAGTGTGCATGTACAAGCTTCATATACATGTGCTCAAAAATCAAGAATCTATACATTTTTACTGGGAAGCTCCAGTGTTTAAACTCAGCTTTTGAACATAAATTTAAAAAACACTTTGTCCACTTGTTAACTCCCTGCCCTTGCCCCATTATCTAAATATTGGAAACACACTTTAACAACAGGACAAAAAGTTTATTCCTCTAATTGTAAGTATTTCTTCTTTTTCTATTTCAAGTCAATTGACATGACATTATGCCTGTTATTTCTGCAAGTGTTTAAAGACAGCACTAAAAAAGTCTTAAAAGCATAACAGATAAACAGTAAATATGTTTTACAGTAAACAATAATGTTTTTTAAAATGTATCCAAGATAAAATCTCGTTGTAGTTTGTTTAAAAAAAATTACAACTGATCTAGGATATGGAAGCAAAAAGCAATGCAAGGAAATAAACATTACCCAAATCTTTATTTATCATATGACTCTCTAAAATAATCTTGTCAATATTGATTTTTTTATTACAGATAATGTCACTCAAAATGTTTAAGCACAACATACCTTGGCTAGAGCAACCAAAGCCTTCTGAAAGTCACCAGATGTGTCAGAGATTATGTCTTGTGTGAGATCTCTCTTCAGCACTGAAATCAAATTGTAGTTTGTTTGAAAGTTATCATCTAGGTTGGTCAGATAAACTTTAAATGTCCCTTCCCAATCATTCTAGGATCTTGTTCTGTCTTTTCCCCACTAGAAATGCAACTGTCTAACTTTCCCTCATTTAGCTTTTAGTGAAGGAGTATATTTTTAATCTATCCTTGTCGTGGTTTTGCCCAGCTGGCCAGCCCCTGGGGCTGAGGATGGTTTTGTCCAGGTGGATTTCCAGACAAAAAGCCAATCAAAACTCCCAGTAACGCCTTTGCTAATTACATATTTAAGAAAACGGAAGAGAAGGTTGGTTGTGCAGTTGAAATTAGTAGCCATGTAAGGAGTGGTGTCAGGCCCCAGGTGGGGGCCAGGCCTCCCTCCTCCCCTGGCCCGGGGCCGGGGGCAGGTGTGGCACTGAAGCTCCCCTTCTCTCTTGTAAGAGAGTGGAGAAAAAAAAAACTTAAAGGACTGACTATTTGGCCAGAAACCACTGCAGAAGAATTCCGGCAAAGAGATAAGGGACCTCCAAGGTCAAAGCTGGCAACCGTAGGAGAGAGAAGTGTGAAGGGGGGCCTGCTTCTTCCCCTCTTCCGCTCTCTCCCTTCAGCAGGGAAGAGGCTGAAAAATAATCCCTGCCACCTGTAAAAGTTTGTTGGAGTGAGGAGACCTTCATGCGGCTCACAGAGGAGCTTGTGGATGTACCAGGGAACCGAAACTTCATGAGAGGGACTGAAATGAGGAAGAGTCTGAGGCTTACGCCAGAGCGAAGATGGCTTGGGTAAGCTTGGGATCTCAGTGAGAGATCAATGCTGCTAGTGCTGAAGATTTGTGACTCTGAGAGAGACGAAATCTATGCTGGAGCAAATAACAGCTTGGGTAGGGATGTTGGGATCCATGTGTGGGATCCATGCTAGTCCCATGTCGGAGAGGTCTATCAAAGACTGTTCTCCCCTGGGGAGGGACCTCCACAGGAAACAGTGGTGGACTCATAAGCCATTATCCCCTGTAACCCTGTGGAAGAAGATCCATGGTAGGCAAGTGTCACCTTGCAAGCCCACAGAAGAAAGAAAAATCTTTCAGGGCCTGGGTAACCCCCAGCCTCCAGTCTTAGCCCAAGAAGGGGGTAGGCCCAGCCCTGGAGGCTAACACAGAGCAAGAGAAAAAGAGGGTTCCAGCTGCAACGAGAGTGCTGCAGAGTTATTGAAAAGACCTGGAGCTCCGAGAATGGAGAAAGAAACTGCTTTTCCTCCTTGGACTGATATAAAGAGGGGAAAAGTATTTCTGTAAATACATAGTACTTTTACTTAAGTAAAACTGTTGTAGATATAGTTCTTTAGTTTTAGCTTGTTAGTAATAAATGTTAATATTATTTTCCCAAATCCAGTCTCTATTATCTGCATAAACCTTCTCTCAACTAACAGTAATTGTGTGTGGGGTGTGACAGCAAATTGACCCAGAGCAAAACCATGACATTTTTGGTGGAGAATGCGGGCAAAGACTGCCTGGAGAAGCAGTGGCTGGATCAAACCTTGACAATCTTCTAAAACCTGAAATGTGCAGTGAAAATGGAGGTTAAACCCAAAATTGGATGAAAAATGTCCTTCTCTAAGGTCTTGTGGGTAGCGTTGTCTTAGGGTTAGGGTTAGGGTTAGGGTTAGGGTTACAAATATGTGACTCATTCCATGAGACACCCACAGTTCTGGCAATGATGATGCACCTTTTCCTTCTGTATTGGGATCTGCTTAGGTCAGAAAAAGTCAGCATGATGTCCCTCCCCCACAACTCCAAATTTTTGTGAAGCTTCATTTGCCTCCTATAATGTTCTCTGCCTCTCATACTAAGAAGTGAGGCTGTGACTCTCATGTGACTACTACAGAGTTATACCATTAATACTTCTTTCATGCTCTGAATTACCTTCTTTGTAGTATCTGTTGGCTTCTTTGATCTCTTTGTTGTTTCTTGAGGCCAGAATCTCGATTAAGGTATTTTCATCAGTTCCAAGCCCCTGATAAAAGAGATTGAAATTTCAAAAATGTCATTCAAAAGAGCAAACTTAAAATTTGTAACAGAAATCAGATGAAAATCATTGACGGCTTTGAAGGCACCATGTGGAACAAGAAACAAGAATTAAAAACATCGTGCTTCCACACAGTATTGTTATTTCAGGTCTTTCGGAATAAAGATTTTATCATATTTAATATACAGGTACACAAAAGAAGTGCTAAAGGGACCAAACAGTGCACATAGAAGACAGGAATGTAAAATCTATGAAGAAAAATACCTTCTTCTCTTTTAGTTTTCCCTTATGTAAACATGTATGTAAACACTATGGCTCTCCATCACTATATTAGCAACTCATTTTCAGAAGGCAGAGTTCATTCTCACAAAAGAATCTCCTCCAACCTGAAATTCAGCAGAGATGACTGTGTCTTGCTGCATAATCCGAATTAGCTGTTTTGCAAAATGAGGTTAAATAAAAACAATACACAAACTTTGCAATCGAAGTCCAGTGTAACGTACAGACCCTGATAATTACTTATGCTCTTTAACATGTCTTACCTTCATAGAGGCTCTTAATTCTTCAGCATCAAACTGAGCTGGAGTTTTGAGCAAAGCCACAACAACATCTTCTAAGTGGCTTTTCAGGACTTTTTTCAAAGCTTCTTCCAGGCTCTGTGTCAAGATGAATAAGAAACACTCTAAGCCAATGAATGGTAAAAATGTAGCTTCCGTTCAGCTACGGTTCAAAAATCAGTCTGACCTCTGATGAATCTCAGTCTACATGATTCCTTTAGCTACTAGAAGAGATTATAAAGACATACATTAAGTTTTTGTCACCTTTAAGTTAATCAAAGCACGAGAGTTTTCTAGTAAATATTCAGAAATGTTTTCACATGTTGCAGTGTGAAATTCACCCATTTCTTGCATCAGAAGATAACTCAAAATAGGCTGCTTGTTTTCAAGAGAAGGTAATGCTATATTGTTCTTAAAATTATGACTAAGTTGCTTATGTGGATAACATTTAAATTTATCCACTTATTGAATGAAAGATGCAGAGTTTGCAGTGGAAACTCTGGATGTGCATATACAAAATTGCAAGTCCAGAAATTAAGATACTGGCTACATTTTAATTTGACCTAAATTTAAGTGAAAAAAAAAATTAAAAATCTTATTTATTCTGCCTTCTATCTGAAAATCCCTAGTACTCTTATTTTGTAACATTAAAACATTTCAGCCCTATTGTTCACCATGCATGTGTCCAGGTTGTAGCTGTAAGAGTGATAAGGTCAACCTGTTTTGTCAAGATATAGCTCAACCAACAAGATTATGTCAGAAATAAGCCCTATGTCCATCGTTAGTATTGTTCTGCTTTAGATGGTGTGCCAGGAACTAGAGTATCGATAGTTTAACATCATTAGTCTCTCTATGTCTTTAAAGTTATATTTTAATATTATAATTTAAAAAATGTAATTGTAAAGCTGGAGCTTCCTCTGAGGGAGGAGAGGGCTGTGAAAACCCCAAGTGAGGTTTTCCTGAACATAAACAGGAAATCTAGGCTAAAACAAGATATTAAACTTATTTTCTAAGTTGGCCTTTAAAATTACACTTAAAGGAATCCCTGTTCCAAGAAGCAGACACTCAATAACTTCAGTATTGCCAACTGTGAAATTGCAATTAAATTTAGAGTTACACATTTAACTGGAGAAAATCTATAATAGGGAAGAGTAAGAGCAATTTGAACACTGTCCAGAAACATATAGTAACTTTGAAGCTTCTCAGTTCCAGGGATTAGCAGTTTTATTACTCAGAGGTAAGAAAACATTGACAGCTGTAAGCCTAGCCCTGTATCAGTGTTGGTATACTTATGGAACAGTGTTATAGTCCTGTAACATTCCTACCCAATTCAGTATTCTATCTAGATTCATATATGCCATCTAACCCAGGAGGAACATTGATATTCTGGGTTTAAATTTAAGCTTGGCTTGAATACTTTACCTTTCCTTTAGTCTGCTGATAGGCAGCTTTGATCTGCTGACGCTGAGCGTTTGTTCTTTTAGTCAAGATGTCAATGATGGTAGCTTCATCCACACCTATGAATCACCAAACAACAAAATTCCCAATATATTCAAAATATTGGCATCATTTAGCCAATTGTATTTTTATTATTATTTGCTTCCTGTCATATTTTGATTTCTTGACACACTCAAGTTTACCAGAAATGTAATCATTATGGTTTCACGATTAGGGATGTAGTGAAGAAACTAAATAAATAGATTCCCATAGAACTCAAAAATGTATGTTCCTGCAACTTCATACAGAAATTCTTTAAATGTTCCAAGTGCAGAACTTCCACTAAACTGAAAACAACAACAAAAACACTTAAAAAAAAGAGATGGTATATTCATTTACTCTCAGTTAGTCAAACTGAAAAAGGTGTCCAAGTACAGATGAAGTGCCAAATGTGAATTTAATTAAAAAAGAGGAGCACAACAGAAGCATGCACTACATTATTAGCATATTCACTGCCTCATGCAGGAATGTTATAGAAATCAATCAAAAAGTATCAGTATGGTATGTTATAATGCTTTTTCCTTCTCTAGAAATTAAATCTTTACAACCCTTCTTTTAACACATTCAAGAATTTTATTGCAACATTAAGGTCTGAAACTCTAATACAACATCAGGCAATCAAAGAGTTGAGATTCTTTAGCCAGTGGCATAATTTAATGTCTTGTCAAGCCTTTAGAAGCAGAGGCACCTCTCCAGCTTGCCATTGCTCTGCTATTTTATTCAGTTCTATTCTGAAAATCTCCTCAGGAAGAAGTAGCAAGATAATACTCCTCTTACCTTTTACAGTAATAGCTCTGTCCAGAGCAACAACATCTGCTGATGGATCAAAATTAGGGTATGTTTGTACTCCATGGATACCTTTTGAACTTTTCTGCAGAGGGAAAATAAAAAATAAAATTAAAAATAAAATAAGAATTGCTCATTCCAAAGAATATTTTTGCAAAGAAGTAATTTTGGATGCCTAAATAAAGTATGCTTTGGGATTGTCTATTATAGGAGTATGAAGGACACACAATTTTGTAACTCCAGAGAATTAAACAGATTCAGTAATGGATATGCATCAGATTTATTCTTTTCACAGCTCATATATTAAAGAGAAAGTACTTCATATATTGTTTTAGGTACCCGAAGACCTGTTCCTCAGAATAAGTTGGATTGTGTAAGAAATCACTTAACTGTCATATTAGCAAATTATGTTCAAATTGTAAAGGTTCTAAAACTACAATTAAATCCTACAGGCACTGCCATTAAAGTGCTACTAATTTATCTGTTCACCTTATGCAAAATCTGCTCCACGTTAAGATTCTTCTCAGATGACTCATATCTAAGGCTACAAACACTTCTTGCATTCAAGATCTTGGAGACGAATTCAAGTCTAATCCTATACGGAAGTGGAGACCTGTTGCCCAACTTCTTTGAAACTTTAGCCATAAGCCATACTCTTCACAAAGCCTTATCTACTTATCGCCTTTGGTGAATCAACTCCTAGGTGGCCACCCTCTCATCAACGTCTAAAGGCCTCTGGGAACTATACAACAGATTACATGGCTTGTCCTAAGTCAGCAACATGTCAAATCAAGTTAGTGGTAGGACCTATAACTCAACAGTGCTACCTAACTGATGCCTACTTCTTTTTCAGAAGCTATAAAGTGCCCCAAGATTCTTCAATGAAATATTCATATAAAACTCCCTCCCATTGTTCTGATGTATAGTGAGATTTTTTATTAGAAAACAAAATCAGTTTACCTAGATTTTCAGAGTCACCTATACTCTTTCTCTTGTTTCAACTATTACTTTATTTTGTAAATCCTTTGCCATTAAAATTAAGTACCACGAGAGAAATGTCAAGGTCTTATGGATACATGTTTTACACACAACACTCTGCATTGAATCTTGTACACTTCTAACATCTGATAATAAAATGTTCATTTCCCTACACAATTTTATCACTAGGAGTCCTAAGAGTGCAGACAGACTGCATATTTAAACAGTCTCTTGCATACATTTCAAAACATTGTTGAGACTTGCATGATAAGTCAACAAAGGAGTGGGACTGTTTTGCTGCCTGTTTCTCATTCTCACCGGGTTTGTATACTGGTTTCCATGACAAGCTTATCTACCAGCAATAAAAAACCATCTGTAACTAACCACCTCAAATAAGAATGTCTCATGAGCCAGGGAGTGAAATGGGGATAGGATGGTGGAGCCAAAGTTTTACACACAAAATGTTGTGGAGTCAAAATTACAAAATCCACAAAGGTCTAGAGCAGAAAACTTTATTTACTGAAATTTCCCCTACATTTCTTTTCAAGCCAGTTAGTTCCTTAGGGAATTCTTGTTACTTCACAGTGTACTGCTTTGCCTTTGCTGACAGTAATTTCAGTATCTTAACCTCATTATCAGAAAGATTCTCAGTATCATCCTAGTGAAGTAACTCTAAACTTCTCACCACCGTATTCCTCCCTTCTAATCTGTATCAGTAGCAATTGTCTGAGATGATTTATTACATAATGTGGCTCTTTCCACCATAAGCATGACGTGTGATATGATAATTAGGACAGATATTAGTGACTTGACTTTCTCCTTTACATTCCTGGGTTCCAACTCCTGGCTTCCTGTACATCAGCCTAAGGGTCCCTGCCTTTCATGTACTTCACATGAACACATTCTTACACATTCACACACCCCAGCATCAGATTAGTACTTCAAAGAGGCCAATTTGAGTGAATCAGTGACTGGTCACTGGGAATTACAGTTTCATAACAGTAACTAGTTTTGCTTAGGAATTGATAACTAGATAGTATGTACAAACAAGAGAAATTTTTTCTGATTATCTGATAGCAGACTCTCTTAGTTATTGGATTATACATAGCAATAAAATTGGGTTCCAGTTCTAATCCATTGGAGTTTTGCCATTGTTTTTCCTCCCTTTGCATGTACATAAAATGTTTGGTGGTCTATGCCTTTTAATCACTTGTAAGAGCACAGAAAATTAAGCATTATGCTCTCAAAAGCTGTTAATACTTACAATACATTCCTGCTCCTGATTTTCCATGAACCACGCCTGCTTCAGAAATTCTGACACCATAGCCATGTTGACTGAGTTTCTGGGAAGAGATGCATCAAATTACCATTTTTCATCATTTTCAGCACCATTGCAACTCAAGGTTTCCCGTTCTCAAAGTCCTTTCTCTAGAACTATGGCATGCAGCCCTTAGTTTCCCAAGTGGTAACTGACCTATGCTGTTGGAAACAGGAAATTTTGATGTTTGGTAGGTGATGTGATGCTCCTCAACTGCTTGCTCACCCCTACACTCTTAGTTACTTGCAGAAGTTTTAGATTAGAACAATAAAGTACTTGGACTATTTGCTTATTAGTAACACTTTAGGATTAGAATTGACTTAGAAAGGGAAGTTACCAGAAACCAATTAGTCTGTCTTTCTCTATCAGCTATACCCATTTAGCTTACTGAGTATTTAATTATTTTCAAATTCAGTGGTAAACAAGTATTCTTGTCTGACCATTTACTGAGGCTTGAGTTCTTGTGTATTATGTCAGGACAAAAGATATTCCCTTGTTAAATATATTCTCATGTCATTTCTTTGACTAGACTCTCTCTAAGAAGACATATAAAACTGGGTATTTTCGTATGCATTGCTCTTTATTTCTCACATATTTACTAGAATTTCTACATAATAATAGAGCATTACCCATTTAAGAAGAGAAAAAAAAACCATAACTTTTGCTTTTTACCACTCAAAAGTAAGATCCATCCAGCTTTATCATAAGTAACTATGCAGAATGGGAAAAAATATGAAATGTGACATTGAGCACTCAAAAAAAATTAACAGGTTGCTTCACACAACTTATTGGTTGTGTTATAGGTGCTGAGAAATAGTCTTTTGTTAACTGAAATAGTGAGTGAACAGAAAGGAGGAGCCAATGGTTTATCAAATAGAGTTATTCAAAAGAATTTTTTTTTTTTCAAAACACTCTTCCACAGCAAACTCTATGAAAGGCTTGATTTTAAAACAATGAACTAATGCTGCTGACTAAACCAGACTGATTTTGAATGTAGTGTGAAGAGATAAAATTCTATTTGCAGTCTTGTGGTACAGATCATGTAATGTAGATCATATACACAGTTATAAAAAGTTACATTGATTATGCTGCTATCACATGCTGTAGGTCCTCTAGGAAGGGCAGAGAGGGACCAAGCTGTTAAAGCAACACACATTTAGGACCAAGCAACATAGCTACAGTCCAACTGGTTGTTTTGCCTCATAGCAAAACTGTAAAGCTTACTTCCATGTTCTTCAGCGAGCAAAGGAACAGCTACCTCCCACAGCCTGCCTTAAGCTCTCCTTACCTTCCCTCTCTGAGGCAGGAGCCAGCTATATTCCATCTTCCCCAGAAAACTCTTGCATTTGTGCCCTTCCCTCAGCCCCAAGGGCACAAAATTCAGGTCTGCCTGTGCTGCCAGAAAACCTGAAACTGATTCCAAATCTGTATTTGTATGGTATTTAAAGTAGGTCTCAGCTAGGTAAACAATGGTCAGAATATTGTGTAAGTATTCAGAACCACCTTTTATGATCTGTCATTTGTTCAGGATCAGAAAAGCATACTTACATTGTTATTACAACCAACAATTTCATCAAGCAGTTAGAATGACTCCTGCACCCTTCTTGTATCAACAGAACTTAATGAGAGCAGATGAAGTGGTATCATACCTGAAGTTCTGCTGCACTTTATAGCAGCACACACGAAAACCATATGCAGCAGGATGAAAACATTTAAAAGTCTCCATAGCAGGTGCACTGAGTCATCAACACCAACATGTACTGATATGTCTGTTGATAAGCTGATTCACATAGCTTACTACAATTTAAAACTAAGAAACAAGATTAATTCTCAGAGCACCTCTAATAAGAGGGGGGACAAAACTGTGCTTTGATTGATAAAATAACACTTCTCCCGGAGAGCTGGTTGCATGAATGTATCCTTTTCTTCTGCATATCCCCACACCCACCCCTCACACCCAGCTCTAGGGGTTTTACTGCTCTTGGAGTTGACTAGAGCAGAAGGCTGGCATATTACACTAAATTTGGTTTATTAAGCTTCTAAACCTTTATGTCTTTTCTAATTTAATTTAGACATTAAAAAAACCCCTCTGCCTTAAAAACTAAGGTTTTTTTCTTTTTTTTTTTCTTTTTTAAATAAAGACATTTTGGCATGCAGATCCATCTATTTTTGTCTAGTAAACAATTTTAATAGAAGTCAAAGTAGGCAATGGCTCTTGAGAGGAGCTAAAAACCTTAGTCTGCTTGAGTTGGCTTAGAAAGATAAGAAACCAACTTACATATAAAACTCTTCTGCTTTATATGTTTAATAAGAAAAAAGAATATTGGAATCTAGGAAGACAGCCAGCTCCCTGACGAGGTCTTTCCCAATGCTTTGACTCATGCCACTCTAAAATGCAATCAGCTCGTGTAAACAGTACCTAGATCCAGGAAAGATACATTCAGCCCAAATATTATTTTAATTTAGTATAAAAAGGACTGAAAAGACTGATGGCTGTCATATTTTTTGTCTACTTTTATGCTCAGGACATAGACTATAAACAGCGAGAGGAAAAAAAGCATGTGCCTACTGAGTGGTACAAACAGAAGTTGACACAGAAAAGTGTGATGCTCCTTTCTGGTTACTCCATATCAGATAACTATTTGAGAGTTATTCTATTTAATAAAATATTGTCCTGGCCATGTGTCCCACTTCACAATCTGGAATCTGTAGATGTTCTGTTTAAAAGGAAAAAGGATCAAGAAATTAAAATATCTCAGTTTGAAAAATATTTTGATTTTTATGCATTTTATAATTCCCAGTTGGAATGATCCGCATTGCAACTGTCTTGAAAAATCAAACAGACTGAAAGCTCTGTTGTGAAACTGTTGTTTCACAAAAATTATTGCAATGCTGCTTTCTGTCTGGCTCTTAGTCCCTAAAAGATGTACCCTTAAACTGGATATATCCAAGTTTTTGAAAGTTTTGAGAAGGTACTCTACTGAAAATATTTAAAGACACAAACTAGACTTTTACACTATAGTTTGTGTCAAACAGCAGCATTTATCTATGCTTATTTAAGCATATCATGAATCACGTCAGATACATCTCTGGTTACTGTCCAAGGCTAGATACCAGGATCTTGTTCTAAATTATAGTCATGACACCCTATTAGAAAAACAGGCAGAAGATCTAACACATGAATTCATTTTGCACTGGAAATTCTGCTGAATATGAAAACACCAGAGAGAAAAAGAATCCTATCCTCATAAAGTTCTGTGGAAAGATTTAGCAGAAGAAACCACAGATGACAGACCACTTACGTGGCTTTGCCTATGTTCTTAGTCACAAAACCAGGATTTTGCTCTTATGTTTCTAAAAGATTGGTTTGATTTGATTTATAAAATTTGATTTCCGATTTGATTTCTAAAAGATTTCATTTTCATCACTTTAATGAGTAAAGACTCTTCTACTGTCCCAAACTGTTGCTGAAGTAACAGCAGCTGTTTTGATTTTTTAAGTTTCCATACAAAGCACAGTAGTTTTCTAGGAACTCCAGCTTTGCCGTAGATTTCTAGAACAGCCTACTACAAAGGCAAAGAGAGAGCATGGAAATGGTCAACTCCGAGTAAGTTTCCTTTTAAACTTTTAAGTTTTAATTACATTAAATAAAAGCAATAGCTGTCCAAACCCTGCCATAAAATGTTTCAAAACTGAAAGAACTTCTCCTCCCCACATCCATCTTTGCAAGCAAATCCAACCCACAGAAAATTTGCATCAGGTTATTTGACAAATTCAACTTTGGATTCTTAAAGTGTGTCAGGTTTACAGATACAGTAATGAATCGCAAAAACCTACCTTCCTCCTTACAAACACTGCCTTGCAGGGCTGCACAGTCAGGAATAAAGGAGCAAAGGGTTCTCAATGCTTTTAAAGCGTGTGAGGGAGACTCCACCCAGCAACCAGAATGTTTCCACAGCAGTAGAAATCATCTGCAGCAGCTATCTGGGTGCTGCCCAAAACAGGGAACCACACAGAAAAAGTCATTGTGAAACTATGTGCTGGAGAAAGCATGTGCCAATTTCAGAAAGGAAAAGACAGCGAATGACCATGCCATGGTAGCTCTCCTCCCCTGTCATGGCCCCATCCTTCACTGCATTAGATTACCATAAATCTTTTGCGTTCATATGATTAAATGTTAGGAAAACTAAACTTGAGTTACTTCCTTCACATCTTGTCATGTCTGATACCAGTAAAAAGTGAATATATTAAGATATATCTTTGCTCATTGAATCATTTAGAGAAAAAAGGGTGAAAAGTCAATGCAGCTTCCTCAATTCACTGAGCTCTGGTGGCTATAAACTGTGCTTCATCTACACACAGGCCCATGACAGAAATGGCCCGGGAATAAAACAGGTCTAATATTTAATATAAATTCCCACCCCCCCCCTTTTTTTTTTCTTGAAAAGAAACACCTGGAAAATTGCAGGCTTTACAGAAGGGCAATAACTGGCATCTGGATAGTAAGAAAGAGGTTGAAACAATCAGATTAAGCTCTGAAGATCAAAGTGAGAGTGGTTTGCGCAAGCTGAGGGTGTACCCCAGCTTGCTAGAAGTGGTTTTCTGCAAGGACTTCCTCACCTGGCCAGTCAAAGACATTTTCCAGAACATGTTCAGCACAGCACCTTGCCTATCACTGACATCTTAGATCATGTGGGAATGTGATGCCCAGTGAAGAAATATCTCTTCCTGAACCAGGATTTTGGAATGGGCAGACAGGCCACCCAGCAGATGCTGACCTGGACTTGCTGCAATGCCCTGGTACCTCCAGAATGAGGAGGAGGTATGGTTGATCTGCCTTGCATGAACATATGTGAAATGCAGTCTGCTCTTGAAACCCAGGTCTAACAATTAATAAGATGAGGAGGAAGTGGAACAGACTGATGGTTATTGTTAGAGGGGACCCTTGCAAATTCTCAAACATAACATATCATTGCATATACATTCCAGCATAGCTTACTCCTTCCTCTGTTTAAAATAGCTCTGTAGAAGCGGCTGGGCCCTAAATGTGTACCACCCACAGGGTTTAGTTGCCGGTACTGGGGGTAAGCTGGTGCAGGATCATCACAGTCAAGGAAGTCTCCTTCCAACCAGGTTAAGGGGAGAGTCTCCAGGAATGGTAGTGGAGACAGTGGTCAGCCACTCCATCCCAACCCAGGGATAGGAGGAACCTTGCCGGCCCTCATGGGAACCCTTTTCCAGCCCCCAGAACATGCAACTCTGTGACACCAATTTCCCCCTGCACTTTGTTATTTCCTTTTCCCCTGTATATTTCATATATTATTTTACAAAGGTATTTCAGATATTTTCATAAACTGAATAACTGAAGGGGCCTACCAACTCACAGTGATACTGTGAGCAAGCTGACAGGTTGTATCTGGGCTTATTTAATGATGATGTGGGATGTTCGGATTACTCCTGCACTCCCAACTTCCGTATCAGAATAATATTTCCAACCTTATTTCACTTTTGTGAAGTGTTGGCCAAAACTCTGTTTACACTCTTTTTCTGGAACTGTTTCCCTTTTCTATTAATGAGCATGTCTAAGGGTAGGACTCAGTGTGCTACAAGTTAGACACTCCTTGATGTTGACTCTTTTTTCTAATATAGTTTCTCCATAATCAGACATAGTAGTTTTTCATCTCTGGTCTTTTTTTTTTTTTTTTTNGTCTGTGTTTCTACCTTCAGACTGATCTGACAAGAAGGCATTGTGTTACAACTCATTGCAAAAGCTGTTTGCATTTGCTTTTCCTCCTTCTTAATGGGCGGGCAGATGTTGACTCATCATCTTCCTGGAGCTGGACTGAGTCACCATCTGTGCTAGAGTGCTTTATTGTGTAAAATGCTGACATTTAAAAAATGCAATTTAATTGGATGGAGCTCTTAACAATTGTTTATTGTTAAGTTTTTAACTGCTACTCCATCATTTGTTTCATAAAGCTGTAACAAATTGTGTATTGTTTATTGTTGACCTAGCATTAGTTATTCAGAAGTGGCAAAGCATGCAGCCACCGTTACAGTGGTTCAGATTTCTCATATGAGACAAAAAATAAAGGTCCTTTTCAGTAAGCTGTCAGATATGGCCATGCTAAATATTTCTCTTGAGGTTAGTGATAACAGCTCAAGTGGGAAGATGGAGTTTCCTCAAGCCTACACAAAATAATAGTACATTGAGTCAGGAATTTTCTTGGAGTTTGAGAGAAACATCAGCAGCCATTACAGCTGTTTCAGAGGCTTCTGCCAACCCTGTTGTAGCTCTCTGTTTATTCTATCCAAGTTGCCTTAAAGAATACTTAAGTCTGAGGGAACTGGGGAGATGACCATTCTACCTACACTCAGGCAAAGACCCCATTTACAAATGACCTTCAGATTACATATGAGACAAACTTTAAGTTAAAATTGATGCTAACAAATCACATTGTTATGAATAAGCTTTATCCTGAAAGAGATCCTGAGTGTAGTAAATCAGGGAATAAGTCATAAATCAAGGCTCTGCCTGTTTCACACCTGGATAGTTGTCCATTTTGAGCCATCTGATATCAAGCCAGAGCCACCTGGAATCTGCTTCTCTCATCTTTTGCACCTTGTGACTTCAATGATCTTCAGTAGCGTTTATCCACATCCTAAAAAACTAAGGGGAAACATTACTCCATTTCCTTAGGCAGCCAGGACTTGCAATGTAGCAGCTGTACTCAAATTTCATGCAACGGGGATACAGGTGATACAGATCTAAGAGTATGTATGAGTTACAGCGGTCCTACCTAAGGCAATAATACTTTCAGGAAGACATTCCAGAAAGAACACAGTATTTTTACTGATACATATTTGCCAGTTCCTATACAAATCCCATTTTAGGAAGCATACTTCAATTACATTATTTAGAAAAATATCATTCCTGCATGTGGAGTTACAGTGTGTCCTCAGACCTTCATCTATTCCTTTGACATTACAGCAGAGAGAAGAGCTACACTATGTCTTCATTTGCACCTAGTATACATGATTCTAGTGAGTCCATCTAGGGTTGGGTTGTGATCATTGATATCCCTGTGATCCTATGTGCGTGTGTTGGCCAGTCTTCACGAACAAAGAACTGGGGAAGGTCTTTACACCTTCCAGCCTGCGCATTGGATTTTTTTTTTTTTTAGGTGAGACACAGTGTGCGCGGAACTGAGCCCACCCTTTAATCCTGAGGTTCATCTGCCGGCGCCAAGCGAGCTTGAACGGTGGCAGCGAGGTCCTCAGGACGTAGATGGATTGCCTTACAGGGCTAACGAGCTCCATCTGCCCGGGGAGTGGCCCCGACCGGGAATCGAACCCGGGCCTCGGCGGTGACAGCGCCGCGTCCTTAACCACTAGACCACCAGGGGCTCCCTATACTATGGGCTGGATGGCATAGATCCTCAAATCTAGACATGCAACTCTTTTAGTTTCATGTGTTAGCAAACAAAATATATTCATTAGACACAATAAGACAGTCAAAACTGTGTAGTGTCTCTTCTGGCTTCTCTGTTAAAGGATTTATTTTCATTAATGTTTTATTTACCAATCAGATCATGTTTCAGCTGTTTACCTCTTTGCAAGCTTGTAAACAGGAAAACGATTGGACAAAATGCTTTTGTGTCTTTATTCTGATCCAAAATAATTAATGAAAATTTTTGAGGAAATTTCTAACTAGGATTAACTGTATTTGCTTTTGCAATGCACAAAATATTTAAGACTTCTATCTTTCATAAGGGATTTGCCAACATTTTGTTCTTGCCTCATGAAATACTGAATTGGCAAAAATTCTTAGGCAATAGGAATTCTATGCTTTAATCAAACATACACCTACTTTTATAATTAGCTCTACTACTTACTGCTTGCTTAGTTGCAGTAAATACCTTTCTGTAGCTCCAGAGATTTTTAGAAGGTTAAAGGGATACTCTGAGTCTCATGGTAAAACGAAGGTTGGCTGTCCAGAAGACACAAAATATTAATGAACAGACCCCTTCATAGAAAAATAAGAATAACCCATACCCTACTATAAATATGCAGAATGGCTAAATGTAAAATCACACCAAGGTAACACCATTTTGAAAACTAGCAATCCTGTTCAGTTTAAATGAGCTCAAATTCTCATTTTAGTGGAACCAGGAATTCATCTTAGGGACACTGTGAGACACTGGATTATTATATTATATTATTAATAATTTACTATATTATATTGTATTATTATATTAATTATTGGCTTAGACCAAGTCAAGTGAGTGTGCATGGAGGGGGACAGGACAGGTTGAATTTCACCAAAGGGAGGTGATGCCCTGTCTCATACCCCAGACCCCTGGAGTCTCTTTGGCAGCCTGGGAGCACTGCCCCTCACACACTGGAGCCCCTAACGCAGCTCCACATGGCTGGTGGCTGGCACACTGGGAACGTTGCCCCTTACCCTGATCTGGACCTCCAGAATGGCCTGTGGGCTGGAAATACCACCTGGGTGTGGAGTGGTGTGAGCACAGGGTGGGACAAAGCAAATAAAAACAGCAACTTATGCTTTCAATATTGTTTGGAACCTGCTATGTTCCTGGACTCCTGGTAACTGGATCTATGCTGGATCTAGGAGTGGTAGTTATAATTCTCTTTTTCTCTCTCTCTCTTTCTTTACTTCTTCTTCTCCTAATTTCCTTTCTTAGTATTTTGGGTAATTTAAAGCTTGATGGGTTGGATTTCACTGAGTTGAATGAGTTAGAATGTGCCAAGTCAATGCTTTGTGGAATGTTTTATTTTGGTTGAATGTTGCCCTTTAAACTTTTGCCAAGTTCCCTTACTTTCTAAAGTTTACCAGTAAAAGTACTTCCAAAAAAACATGTGTGCAACATTTCTCCTTTGCACTCTCTTTTAAGGTTCTGAAAGAACTGAAAG